TCTCATGCTCCAGTGGGGAGACAGACACCAAAATAAGAACCATGACACAAGCCAAAGAAGGCAACTGCGGGGTGGGCTGAGAGTTGATGGCAACCGAATTAGGGGGCAACATCCAGGCCCCCAACATGTGCCAAGACCCCACAAGCCCTTGTCAAATTCAGGGCCAGGAGCCAGACATCCTTTCCCCAACAGACAGGATGGCAGTCAGGCAAGGACCCCAGAAAGGCACTCTGTGCACACCCACGTGCTCCCTGGAAGCCAAATGCAGAGTGTGAGAGCAGAGCGCATGCAATCAAAGTTGACTGCAAGAGTCTCCCTTGGGAAACGTGCATGTGCCCCCAGCCTTCCCTCTTCCACACGCTCGTGCAGAGACCTTCGGGGAGTGCATGATTCCCTGTGGCTGGGGTATGTGATGCTGCCCAGAGGTGAGGGCATCTAAGACAAATGCTTGAGTGAACGGTGGAGCTGTATACAGATGTTCACTCACTCAGCAAGTCCAGTGGTTCCTGAGCACTGGTGACTGAGAAAAGCCCCCCATGCCCCAGTGAGGAGCTCACAGTGGGGGCAAGGTACCTGCAATTTGCTACCACCCGTATTCTACAGATGATGCTAGAAATAGCCATGGGGCCACAGGACGGGTGTATGACCAGATCCTCTTAGGAAACTTTTAGAAGGTTAATAGTTAAGCCTTGACAGTCTAGTAGGCATCAGCCAGGTGAAAGAGTGGGGGCAGAAGCATTCTGGCAAAAGAGCAGGACTAGAAGCTGGGGCACATGACCCAGCAGGTTGTATGAGGGCATGACATGAGGCTGTCCAATGGGCACAAGGATATGGGGGAACAGGCTGGGGGCCACTGCAGACGAAAGGACACGCAGTGCTTGAGTGGGGGTGTGGGCAATGGGAACCCTTGAGGGTTCAGCAGCAGATGTACAACAGTCAGGCTAGGGTGTCAGACACTCAGTTCTTGGCCCTGTAGGAGGAGGAATTTGGAAAACAGTCAGACCCGGGGGATGTCCTAATATTAGTAACACAATGACTCTCAACCTCATGGTCAATATCATTGTTTTAAAGGAAAAAAAGTGTCCACAGCCTGTTAACAAACTACCCAAGTTATCGTGACTTCGAGGTCATGTTAGTGGAGTCTGGCAATGAGACTCTTAGGATCCTGCTGAGGGCAGGGTCTATGGTGTTGGGGACAATGAGGAGGGGCTCCTAGTGGGAAGTGCCCTTCCAGTTCTAGGCTCTTACTCTAAGACTGAAAATAACTATCTAATGAGAAGATGTGGTCTCTAAACTCTGAATTCTAATTTTTAATGATTTGATTGCTAGCTAGAATCAGTGTTAAAATGTCTCAAATAGCATCTTCAGCTAGAATTTTCCTCAGAAGAGACATATATTTCTGAAAAATAGAAGGCATAAAATAATTCAGAAAGGAAAAAAAAAACCCACGAGTATGCCAACAAATCTCTGTAAATACTAATTTTAAGTTTTAAGAGCAGACTGAAGGCCAACACAGTTTTAATTTGACAAAGTCCGAGCGCCCCCTGATGGTCAGCCAGGCACCCTGCAGCAAATGCCATTTTTTTTTTTAGCTGCCTGGGGTTAACTTGTTAACTCAGCTAGTCAAGCAAGTGACTGTTCTTCCATGCTCTGTGTAGAAAAAATAAAGTATGTGGGTTTGTGAGGAGAAACATGTAGGATATTTAGGCAGCTGCTTATTCAATAGCATTTAAGGAGAATGCATATTTGTTTAGCCAGAGACGGAGAATGGGGGCTTTAATAGGAGAACCTAAAGGACTTCCAGGAAAACTACATTTTTATTTCACTGGTACCGATTCCTTGTGATCTTTGTATTATCCCAAGGGAAAATGGCACAGTGACCAGGCAAGAAGAGAGATACCGCGGTCCCCACCAGAGCATCAGCTGCAGCCTGGCGCCCTCCACTGGCCACGCCTGTGGCTGCAGGGTGGGCACAGAATGCCACCCACAGCGGCCCTGCCAGGGTGCCGTCCCTGGGTGACTTCTGCTACCTTTCCCCCAGGCAATTATGCTGCAAGCACACATCCTTTTCTTTCCGTAAAATGTTATCTCGATCCAGCCGGTAAACTGAAGTTACATGGCAGGCTGTTAAAATATACTCTCCATTGAATAAATGGATCCCGGAGCGTGAAAACCGCTTCCTGGGGAAGGTAAAGCGAGACAATGTTTGCGGAGGAGAGGAAGCTCTGGCATGCACCCCTGAACAAAAGAGAACAAGTGGTCTTTACTCGGAGAACGGCTTCCTATTAGGACTCACTCCTTCGTACATTATGCCTTTCATCCCCACTCAACCACAAAATGATTTTGCTGAAGCAAATACAATGGTAGAAAAAGATTTACACTGAAAGAATCTTTAATAATAAACTGTTGCCGATCTGCCTACTTGCCCGTGATTTATAATACAATAAACATCGGATTCTATTACGGCTCATGCACTGAAGCTGCTGCTCTGAAAAACGGAATATGAAAGCACCCGGATCCCACCACCATCACAATGAAATGAGCATGTATAAATGTGCTAAGAGTATCTCTTTGCATCTTTTATAGCTTGTGTGTATTAATCTGTAACGCTTATTAAGAAAGTCATTGCTATGCAAAGCAGCACCCAATCCCTTTCTCTGGCTTTTCAACAGAGTGCACTGTTTAGCCAATAGGACGGACCCTCTGGCCCTCATTCTGCATTCATCACAGGCAACATTTGCACAATGTATCTCTCAAAGGCGGCTGAAAAGAAGGCCTTAATACTCATGTAAACAACTGCAAACCAATTACTTAATGAATCAGGCCCACACATAATGAGGTGCAGACAAAGAGCTATAAATGCATTTTTGCACCCAAGCCGCTGCTTTAAAGTAAAATCCCTCAGCTGTAGTTTGGGCTTAACTAGCACATCATAATTATTGTCTCTAGGACATCAGAGGAAGCCCCCCCCCTTTTTTTTTAAGGTCCAGCAGGGTCTTTTTTTTTTTTTTTTTTGAGGTTGCTCATCAGCTCACTGACAAAATAGAGCAAAGAAGAATTTTTAAAAGTGCTGCAGCAGCACTGCACTGTTATGTTTATTCTGAAGTACTGGGTTTCGAGACCACTTGTAAAAGCAATAAAGCACGAGGAGTGACTGCAGTAAGTGGGATCCTTAAATGTAAGTCTCTAAGAAATTTCAGTGAATCCAGGCGCAAACAGCAAACCCAGAGCTCTCCAAAGCCCAGGGTGCTGTACTGACAACACCAAACCCAGCACAGGAACCACACCGTGACAAACAGCATGCCAAACCCACACACTCAACGCCCAGGCCTTTTCATCACTGGATTATTATCAAGGGTCTAGAACCAAAGGTTCCTTGAAGACCTTTTTTTTTTTTCTCCTTCTTAAAGGGGGTGATGAGATGACTTGTAATTTATTTAGAAAATTAATTTCATGCAGGAACGATAGGTCCTTGACTCAGAATGAAGGGGGAAGACAGTGTGAATTTACTTTAGTGAAATACAGACACAAGCCTGAGGAAATGTTCTTGGGGCCCAGCTGCTTTCTAAATGTATTTTAAAACTGCCTCAAGCATGTATATCTATAAAGACAAGTTAAAGAAGAATTGAGCTTTTTAGTGCCCCTAAGATATAATGGAAAAGAGCACTTCTAACAATCTTTAACAACTACAGCATGTGTTACTGAGCCAAATGATACAGGAAGCCCCGAAACTACCTGTAGAATTCACTACCTTTAAAGTATTAAATTTAAATTTAAAGTATTAAATTCACTACCCTTAGAAGACCCAGAACTTGAATTTACAGTATAATCCAAAAAACATAACACTTTAGCACTCTTCCTGTCCCATGATTCATTTCCTCCCACTTCCTTCAAAAACATGGATGAAAACCCAGGTATTACAGATGCTAATTTCTGAGAACTATGTGAGTGATTTTCTAAAATTGAACTTGTCAGGTTTCTAAATGCAACAATCTAATTTTAGAAAATCAATCTCATTTTAAGATATTCCGAACCCTAAAAATATTACAATGTTTTTCAAAATAGAAGTGAAAGAAAGTAGGATCTTTTTTTCTTGCATTTTAAAAATACTAGATTTCTGGATCAAATCACTCTATCTTAGGGGACACTATATGTGACATTAGAAATGTAAAGTTTCTGTTTTAAAATTTTATCAGGGTAAGAAGCTCGTTCACAAGTTATGCAATCATCTAAAGGACATTGCTTTAATGAGAACTGTTATCACAAAAGGAAATTTGTGCGGTTTTAAGCAACATGCAGCCCGAAGCCAAAACGGTAGGTATCTCCTCAGACAACTGCTTCTATTCCCACTGATAAATTCTTTTTGACCCAATGCCACTGCACAGTCAGTATTTCATGTCGATGACAAATCCAGCACACAACTCACCAACTCGCTTATTGTTGCCTGGAAAACTTACGAGAAGGGCTACAATTTCCACAGATGTGAAAGGATAAATTTTGTTCTTTTCTGGACAATAAGCAGGGAAGTTGCAGCAAAGGAAAGGGTAACCCAGCCCAAAGGCTTGGTGAAAAAGAGGAATACGAAAACAAATCCCCAGCAATTGCCAGTATATATGTCAGCCGCCTCAGGAAGAAGAAACAGGCCACTTTATTTCTTTTAAGGCCCGATGTTTTCTCTCTGCCCTTTTCCGACACCCTCCATTGTGTGGTCTCTAAGCAGCCCTACCGCGAGCAGCTGTAGACGCTAATTTGTGGTTCACTGAGGTGTCAATTGAGTCTTAAACCAACGAAACAACAGCTGCAAAACAATGCTTGGCTCTGGTGCAAATATTTTCAAAGGTAGACTGAAGTTTCAACTGTTATTTCAGATCAACAGAAACCCAAACCGTAACCTTCCCTCGAGTCACACAACAAAATAATACGCAGCCAGAGTTTCATTCATTACGAAGTGACATTTCTCATCTTGTCGCCGCTGTCCAGAAAGGCTTTCACGACTTTACCTTGACAAAGGACTTCCTTCGCTCGATGAAAAACTAGCCTCCAAAGCGATTTTGTTAGCTGTCTTTGTCTTGAATGTCCCGCTGCCAATGTTCAGACCTGTGAGAAGCATAAACGTGGAGCATGAGTGCTGGCCGCCACGCAGCGAAGAAATGCACTGAATGGCGCAGCAGCCGCACGACAACTTTGGTGGAACAAACGTTGACAGGGGAAGACGCTGTTCAAGCCGCAGAAGGCAAGGGAGCTTCTGAGGCAAGGAACAACATGTTGGCAGAAAGCTGAAAGGAAGTGTGTGTGGGGAGGGGGGGCGGAGGGGGCTCTGTGTGTGTGTTCCTGAGACACACAGAAGCCACAAAAAGTAAAAATCACTCAAAGAGCTCTATTTTAAATGACCAAGACACACGTGCACATCTATGGTCTCTCCCCTGGCACTAAGCACTAATAATCCACCTTGTTGTAACACGTGGACCCGGGCAGTGAGAGGTCACCAAAATGATGGGTGCTGGGAACCAGGTCTCAGAAATCACTGACACCCCAGGGTGATAGTTACCTCTCTGCCAAATCCTCTTTTTTCCATCTTGTGAAGGAGAATGAACTGCCATTGAAAGCCATCAAGGCCACTCTTTAACCAGCCTGACAAGGTTGATGGGGAAAGATGCACAATCTACCTCTTCCCTGGAGAGGGGGAACCAGACTGTCCCCACAGGGCAGGCCTGACCCCCACCTCCTGGGCACCCTTGGATGTGTTGGCTACCAGGATTCCAAACTGGTGGTCACTGGTGTCACAGATGGAGAGTGCACAGGCATCGCTGGGAAAGGCACTGGCTGAGTTTCTGACCTGTAACCTGCTCGCCTCACAGAACCTCCACAGCGAAGTGATGCTCTTAACAAGGTATCCACGTTTGCCCGAAGAGAGCCCCCACCTGCTTAACACGACAAGGTCTTTTCAGACGTGAAAATGAAGGCACAAGGTTGAAGTGGCTTGTCTTAGTGACAGGTCCAGAGACATAGCCTAAGACATCTGGCACAAAAAGTAACTGAAATCTGCACTTCTTCCACAATTAGATGTAGGGGGGGCTCCCGAGTTCAGGATACTCACCCCTCCCACTACCTGTAACAAGCCTGTGAGGTCTAACACAGGGATTAGAGTGGGCGTGAAAGTGAAAAACTGTAAAATAAATCCTAGAAGCAGCATCTAACTACAGTGTCAGCCAGGACCATGAGAAGGGCTTCTGTGATCCCAGTGCTAGAAGATCTGGAATCTTGCAAAGCACATAGCATCATTTTGAGGGTAGAGCGAGGACACTGAATGAGGGGTGCCTGACAATACAACCTATCACTTCACTTATGAATAGATAACTAATCAACAAATATATTAGTTAGTACTATATTAACAGTACCAAGCCATTCGATATACAGCCAAGGGACTATAACTTATGTCGAATTTATTAATCCTTTGGGCCTGTCCAATGAACTATCGCAAATATACTTACCACAAACAGACTTGTGGAATCACCTTCCAAACGTGTGTGCCTGCTCACGGGCTCTACTGCTCTGAGAGAGGCCTCTCTCTCGGGACCCCATTTGTAAAATGAGGGGTTAGAGAAATACTTTCTAAGATCCCTCTGGACTCTAATTCTGTGACTCAAATGTGAAGAAGGCGATGAAAAGCCCAGTTGAGGGCTCACAAGTGCTGTATCTTTCCAAAGTGCTGAAGACCTCCACCGGGGCAGAGGCCCTGCTTTCTACAGCAACAGACTGCAAGGTCTCATGTTTGCGGAGATGAGATCACCACCACCACCGCTCTCCGAACACTTTTCTCTAACAGGCGCTATGCTGGGCATTTAACCTGCAGTGACTCACTGAATCCTCAAAACAACCAAAATAACTGAGCTTTGCAGCAACTGATTCTAACACTAATATTATCTAGGAAATAGCTCTCCAAAGACAGACAGTGAATACTGATATACTGTAAGTACGTCCCTCAAAAAAAAGGTCTCATGAGACGACTGGGAAATCTGGGTATGGACTGGGAATTATGTGATTTTAAAAAAAAAATCACTATTCCAGTAGGTGAAATTATGACATGGTGGTTTATGTAAAAATAAGAAAGTAATTAAAGCATACGTCGACGCATTTACTTTCACAAAGGGAGCTGAGGTGACTCATACTAAAAAAAAAGGTGTAAACAAGAGAAAGACCACTGAAAACAATAAAAATACAGTAACAGAATGTATGAAAACAAAGCAAATTACAGTTCCAACAAAAATTCTAGGTTGAAGGAACTATATTTAAGCTTAAAATTTAGCTTTACTGCGATTTAGAGTATTTTCATTTAAAGAACCCAAGTCCCCCAACATTCTAGGGAGGGAAGGTAGCCTGGCATGATGCTCCCATTGATGATTAAGGAACTGGGAGATGTAGAGAAGGGAAGGAATTTGGGGTGTTTCCAGTGGTACTTAGTGACAGGTTACTATCACGACATACCAGGTAGAATCCGAGGGTTCTGTTTGGGCCGTTGCCATGCTGGGGGCCAGCACATACCCAGGAGGGAAGACTTCCAAACTGTTGTTCATTGAGAACTGAAAAAGTACTGGTTTAGTCTGACCTGGTGACAGCTTGTTACAGAGCGATCTCCAGAAACCTTCAAAGGATGACTGCCCTTGCCTGAACACAGCACCAGCTACCACCCTAAGTCCCCTGGACACTGGCTTTGAGTGCTGAATATGCCCTGCTTACCTGACAGTTGTAACACAGAAACATCCATCTTTTGGAATCTGTCATCAGTGTGATTCATATTATCCTGAAGGGTAGACTGCTTCAGCAACTGGTAGGCTTTTGTTTCTACAGATTTAAAAAAAGACACAGATAACTGGATATCCACATGCAAAAGAATGAATTTGGACCCTTGCCTTACACCACACAAAAATCAATTTGAAATGGATTACAGACTTAAACACAAGACCTAAGACTATTAAATCCCTGGAAGAAAACATAGCAGAAAAGTTTCAGGACATTGGATTTGGCAATGATTTCTTGGATGATACTAGTAACCTAGTTGACAAAATTAAAAATAGACAAATAGGACTCTAACAAACTTACAAACTGTTGCATGTCAAAGGAAAAAATGAATAGAGTGAAAAGGCAACCTACAGAATGGGAGAAAATGATTAAAATAACATATTTGACTAGCGGTTAATATCCAGAATATAAAAGGAACTTCTACAACTTGACACCATCACCACCACCACCACCAACAACAACAACAAATGACCCAGTGAAAAGGTGGGGAAAGAACTTGAACAGATCTTTCTCCAAAGAAGACATACAAATGGTCAATAAACACAAGAAAAGATGCTCAAAATCACTAATCATTAGGGAAACGGAAATGAAAATCACAATGAGATAATCACATCCGACCCTCAGGATGGCTACTATCAAAAGAACAGAAAATAACAAGTGTTGGAAAAGATGCAGAAAAGTTGGACCCCTGTGCACTACAGGTGGGAGTGTAGAATGGTGCCGCCATTTTGGAAAATACTATAGAGGTTCCTCAACAAGTTACATATAGAACTGCCCCATGATCCAGCAATCCTACTTCTGAGTATATATCCAAAAGAATTGAAAGCAGGGTCTTGAAGAGATACTGGCACACCCATGTTCACTGTAGCATTATTCATAATAGCCAAGAAATAGAAGGAACCCAAATGTCCACCAACAGATGATAAACAAAATGCAGCATAGATATAGAGCTGAATATTAAGCAGCCTTTAAAAAGAAGGAAATCCCGACAACATGCTACAACATAGATGAACCTTGAGGACATGATGCTAAGTGAAATAAGCAGTCACAAAAGAACAAATACTATATGATTCTGCTCATATGAAGTATTGAAAGTAGTCAAAATGAAAGAAACATAAAGTGGAAAGGTGGTCACTAAGGGCAGGGGGGAAGGGGAAGGAGGAAATCAGTGTTTAGTGGGTATAGTAGTTCAGTTCTGCAAGATGACAAAGTTTCAGAGAGCTGTTGCACAACAATGTGAATGTATTGAACACTACTGAACTGTACACTTAACTTGGTTAAGATGGTAAATTTAATGTTATGTATTTTTTATCACAGTTAAAAAAAAAAGTAGAGTGACCAGACATCCCAATTTGTCCATGACGAATTTATGCCTGTTGTCCCAGTATAACTATGAATAGAATTCCCTTTTGTTACCAAATGTTTCCTTGTTTGGATAGTGACTTATCTGGTCACCCAGACCAAATGCAGTGTGGTGGCACAGTCTGGCTACTGACTAAAGAAAAAAAAAACTATAAAAAACATTAAAACACTGACTGGATAGTTGATACTGACAAATTATTATTAATTGTTTCAGTTGCAGAAAAAAGGCACAGAAATACAGAATATTCTTTTTTTTTAAGATTTTATTTATTTATTTGAGAGACAGAGTGAGAGAGAGCATGAGAAAGCGGGGTGAGGGGGTGAGGGGCAGAGGGAGAAGCAGACTCCCCACTAACGAGGGAGCCCAATGTGGGGCTCACTCCTGGGACTCTGGGATCACGATGTGAGCCGAAGGCAGATGCTTAACCGACTGAGCCACCCAGGTGCCCCAATACAGAATATTATACGACCCAGAGAGAAGTTTCTTAAATTCTTCCGATAATGTTAATACTTTCAAATGCATGCAAACTATTTTTTGAACGTCACTTTTTAGAAATTCTGAAAACAAACAAAAAACAATTTCGTTGAACCCAGGTTTCAAGACTCGAAGACAAGTTGTAGGAGTTTATCTTCATGAAGTGGCCAAATCCCAGCCATTATTTTGAGTGGGGTTGTGGGTAAGGCTCCACATCCTAGTAAAATGGTTTCTTTCTTCTCTGGGCCTTGCAGAAGTCACTAGAGGAACGAATCCAAGAGACAGCACTGATTGCTTTGGTCTCCCAGTCCCTCCAGGGCACTCCTGGCTCTAGAGGGCAGTGAGGGCTGAGGAAAGGCTGGGTGAGGGCAGGGGGGCCAGGAAGACCAGCTGCCACAGGATGTGCGCAGAGGCCCGCAGCTGAGAAAATCAAACCTAGGCTTATTATAGGGACGGAGCAAAGCCAGGTGCCCCAGAGGGATCAGCAGGAGCACGGACCTGACACCCAGGTCCATAGGACAGGGGGCCCTGTGGGGCTTTTAATCATGTCTGCCGCGAGTTAATGTGGGAAGACTATTGGGAACAGCGACGAATAAAAACCACATAAAGGACCGGAGTGACACAACCTTCCCTATCACCTCAAGTCTCCAGGATACCTGAATGAAACCAATAGCACAGACATAACAAAAGAGGATCCACAGCTGTATCTTCAACGTGGCCACAAAAATAAAAGGATTCCTGCTGTCAGCACCAGGGGCTGCATTCCTGCGTTTGCTGGCTCCATTTAAGAACTTAACCATGAGCCCCTTATTACTGGATTAAAACTACCATCACACTGAAGAATAAGAATATAACTTCTCTGGTCCTACTAAGAATCAATCAAGATAAAAATAAGTATTGAAAATGAGCATCGTATTTTGGAATGCTAAATGATACATAATTAAAATATGTACAGATCAAGGACTCTTAACTCTGAAAATAATAAATTCTAAGGCAACATTTTTAAACACTGTTGGATTGTGAAATCAGTTTGGTGCACTGGAACAAGATTTGTGAAAAATTTAATACAGAAAACACCAGATGCAGTGCATGCAGAATGGGAAAGTACTGTTGTGTGTCCTGTGTGTATGTGTGTGTATGTGTGCGTGCACGCATGCATGCTGGCCCGGGACAGAAAGTATTTTTTGCTGTAGATTAGTCTCATTGTCCTAGGGTGGCTCCAATAGGATGGCATCATAATATTCTCCAATTAATCCTAATGTCCATTATTACTTCAGACTTGTTGTAAGGTTATTTGGGGAGAGGGGAGATATTAACAAAATCAAAGACAGAGCCTCTGGATTCTAAGTAGGTAAAACATCACTGTAAAGGAGGGGGAAATGTACTGTTTTGTTTTTATTTTATAAAAACTTTCCAGCTTTTAAGATCTAAGTCCAGAGCATAATGACCCTATGCTATTTCTGCATTCAATTACACTTAATTGGTCAAGGAAGAGATAGTGAAGACAGACATTTAACAACAACAAAACACAGAGGCTCCTGGCAGCTGGAGGCTGGGATTGGGGTTCCTCTCGTCTATTATCTTAAGGTAAATCATTTCACTCCAGTGGGCTGGCTTTCCTGCTTCTCAGAGACAAGAAAGACATGTGTCTTTTATTTTCAGGATAGGGTTTTTCTGAAAAATGGCAAGCTAGTAGTTGAAAGGTAATTTCAGATTTGGGGGGAATTAAATGTTCCATCCAAATATTAAACAGTACTAATATTGTTAGTGGTCTAAGTCTAGCAAGGGAGAAATGTGAAGTGAGTTCACTCTTAGCAGCAAGGGACCATTTTACTACTCTGGAAAGATCAGCCATTTCCATGTTCTACATTCTTTCTATTCTGGTTTCCTTCTTTTTTTAAATTGAGGTATAATTGACATACAACATCATATTAATTTCAGGTATACCACATAATGATTCAGTATTTGTATGCACTGTAAAATGATCACCACAGTAAGTCTAGTTACCATCCATCATCTTAATAGTTACATTTTTTTTCCCCTGTGATAAGGACTTTTAAGATCTACCTTCCCTTCCTTCTTAAGGGGCTTGGGCTCTGTAACTGGGCTGTGGCCTTTCCCTTCAAGGCTGCTCCAAGTCTGGTTTGAGAGATGGCTCATCTCTCCTGTTCCATTCAACCAGAGCCCAACCCCCTTCCCAACCATGGATCCTCACTGGTATTGGATCTTTAAACCTTCTGTGGCCCTTCTCTAATAAGTCGCTGAAGCCCACCCGGACACATTTTATCTGCAGCTGCCCTGACCTGAAGTGAAAGAGGGTTTTGGCAAAATCAAGCTGAGGACTGCTGGGCACATCACCTGCCCCAGCCCTATGCATGATTCCTTCAATGGTTTAATGGCAAAGTGAAGTTTAAAGGTAAAATGATTAAATGCATTCACTGGGAGGAATAAACACTAATGGAGACAGAACCAGAGACACCAAAACAGCTGGAGGAGTTGGAGCAGACTGTGCTGTTGGCCATCAAGAGGTCCGTGTTGGGGATCAGGTGCTCAGAGCTAGGAATTACTCTCCCATGGAATGTCCATATCCTTAGTTTAGCCAGTAGAGCTGCAATAAGCAACATATGGAGGACTGGGAGCTCACCCAAAAACGGTATGGTAAAAAAAAAAAATAACCAGGAGAGGCTAAAGGCTACATAGCCTGTGTAGAAATAGGGGAAGAAGGGTTCAAGGACACAGATACTGCACACAGACTGGACCGGGCAGGACTGTAAATGCAGACGCTTTCTGGGGGCCAGGCAGGTACCATACGTAAGGTACTCTGGTGGGGTGAGAGCGGCAGGAAGGGGAGCCCTGTAGCAGGCTGAAGAGCACGTGCCTCCTCCAGAGGGGACAGCTGATTTGCTGTCGGGTGGGTAAGAGGCACAGACTTCTTGCCAGACTTCTATCTTTTTTAAAAAAATAAAACCCTGCACAGGCCAAACAGTACTTGCCACCTCAAAACTGGAAGGTGGTGCACAATTTTTTCTGTGTTCACTGTATAAGCACAAGAACCCTTAGAGAAAAACTTCAGCCAAGGGATACAAGTTCGATGTCAGGAAAAGCTTTCTCAGTGGAAAGCTGATTGGAATGTATTATCAAGGGGGGCTGCAACAGCTGTGTGATTTTTAAATAGCCGTCTGTATTAAAGGGACCAGGCTGCACA